CCCCCCCCCCCAAATTAAGGAGCACTTGTTATCTAGAACTAATTCTAGTTCTTAGGTCAGGTTGCTGTCATTCTTAATCTGCCACAGATTTTTCTAAAAGCAGTGCCAATACAAACTTTTAACTGATGTTAGATGGAAAACCAAAAAAGATTACTTTCATTCTTTTTTTTTTAATTTTTATTTTTTAAACTTTAAAAAAAAATTTTTATGTGTATGTGTGTATTGCCTGCATGTGGTAAGTGCACCCGTGTCGGGCAATGCCCGAGGAGGTCAGAAGAGGCTGGACAGTTGTTAGCTGCCATGTGGATGCTGGGATTCGAACCTGGGTCTTCCGTAAGAACAACCAGTGTTCTTAACTGCTGAGCCATCTCTCCAGCTCCACTTTCATTCTTTTTAAAAAAGGTATTTTAAAGTGTGTGTATGTGGGAGGGGGGTATGTGCACCGTGTCAGAATCCCTGGGGTTGGACTTAAAAGAAATTGTGAGCTAGCTGCCTGACATCAGTACTGGGAACCAAGCTCTGGTTCTGTGCAAGAACAGTATGTGCTCAACCTCTGAGCATCTCTCCAGCCCTACTATAATCTTTTAAAAGTTTCTATTTGTGACTTTTTTTTCTGGTTTCCTTTAAAGTTGTGCTGTCTTATTGAGGTAATTTTAGTATTTATTCTATCTCAGTGAATATCATATTAAGGCCTTTTAAAAGTAGTAGGTGTTTGGGCAGCAAGGCAGACTTAGGTACCCTACCCCTGTGGTGGAAAATAATTTTACTCCTCTAGCTTGAGTGTAAGTCAAGGAGAGAGCAAACTTTACCTCTGTATTCTGGAAAGCTTGACTTAATAGTCCTACAGCTCTGCATAAGTTAACTTCTCCTTGAAATTTATGATAGGACAGAATTGAAAAAGAAGTGGTACCCTCTTTGTCGTCCTTGAATGTGTTATAGTCTGAACTATCAGAATTACATGAAATAAGTTATCAAGATTATCAGAATATGAGCTGTTTAGATCCAGGGTGCCAGAATGTCTTTTGTTTGTTTGTGTGTGTGTGTGTGTGTGTTTGGTCTTTTTGAGACAGGGTCTCCCTGTGGCCTGAGCTGGCCTGGCACTTGCTATGTAGACCAGGCTGGTTTCGATCTCATAGAGATCCGCCTGCCTCTGCCTCCCATGAATGCTGGGACTAAAGGCATGTGCTACCATGCCTGGCTCCGGAGTGTCTTTTAATGAAAGGGATTTATTTTCATTTTGTGTCCCTTGTGCACCATGTGCATGCAAGTGCCTGTGGGGGCCAGAAGAGAGCAGAAGATCCCCTGGAGTTCCAGGCAGTTGTGAGCCACCTAATGTGGGTGCTGGGAATCAAAATCAGGTCCTCTGGAAGAGTATCAAGTGCTCTTAAACACTGAACCATTTCTGTAGCCCCGATCCAGTGTCTTTAAGAGAACCGTTTACATTAACTTAAGTTTTTCACTGAAACAAAGGTTACTTTATGGTTTATTTACTTGATTTTGGAGGGGTTTTGTTTTTGAGATAGGGTCTACCTGTAGCCCCAGTTGGCCTAGAACTCAGTATGTAGACTGGGCTGGTCTCCTGCCTCCAGTTTCAATAGTGCTGCAATCAAAGGCATGTACCACCACACCCAGTGGTTTTTTTGGGGGGTTTTTTATTTGTTTTTTAAAACATGTCCTTATCTTCAAAATATATAGTTGTTCTTGGCTTTGGTAAACAATCTGTTCCCAGAATCTAGGATAGAAATAGTACTTTTAGATACCTAAGAATATTATTTATTTTTTTAAAATATTTATTTTGTGTATATGGATGTTTTGCCTGCATATATGTAAGTGCACCATGTGCATACAATGCCCACAGAGGCCAGAAGAGGACATCAGTTCCCCTGGAACTAGAATTACAGATGGTTGTTAGGCATCATGTAGGTGCTGGGAGTAGAACTCAGGTCCTCTAGAATAACAGCAATCTGAACTGAGTCATCTCTCCACTTCCCCCGCCCCCAAGATTTGTTTTAAATGCAACACAGCCTTAAACAGGGCACAAGTTTAGCTGGGAAACAACTGGAGAAACTTGATAGTCAGAGACAAGAGATTATGGAGGTTAAATGGAAAGTCTTACCATTGATGAAGAACAGTTTTTACTTGTATTGAAATTCGATACTCAGTGTATATTGATGTGAAGCACTATAAAAGATAGGGAACTGGAATGTCATTTTATCACTTTCTTTGTCTTCAGCATGCTTGAGAAAACTGATTTCTGCTAGGCTCTCATGTCCATTTGTTCCACCTTTTTGTGCCTTTTGGCCTTCTCTACTATTTTCCTCTCAAATCAGCAGATGAATCTAGAAGTAGGGAGGTGAGCAAAACCAGAATGTTTTCTAGCTGTTAGGTGAATTTGAACTGTGGGCTCTTCAACTCTTCAATTTCCTTGAACAGCTCAGCAAACGTTGCATTATTTCAATATTCCAAAATGAAAATAAGATAGGCCA